GATGCTTCGCGAAGGTCTTCGGTCAGGTGTTTTGCATTCTAATTCTAACCAATAAGAATATTGGTTACTCTCCTTTTGAACATAGTGTCCTGAATTTTCTATGTTCACGTTAGATACTCAGCGGTGATGGCCAGAGCAGCTGTCAACAAAACCAATTTTTGTGTAAGTCATGTAAATACGGACGTCTGCGCAAAACATTTCGACGGAGACCTTTCTCACAGAAAGCGAAACAAGGAGAACGAACAAGACTTTTGTAGGAAGCCAAACACGCTATCAATATGTCAGCGATGACAGATGGATGCGTAACGAGAATGCGCAGCTACGAAACAGGGCACGTTCATTTTATGTAGCAGTGTCCTGAAATTTCCAAAAGCAGTATACTCCAATGAACAGCTAGCTAGTCGACGATTGGCTAAAAAGAATCATTAGAACGTAGACATCTAACTGCCGGTGTCACTATGAGGTGAGATAAATGTCTTACTTAGGACAACCTTTGCAGTTTGCAGTTGGCCATTAGGTTTGCAGGATCGCGTGGGCGGAAAACAAAGATAAGAGAAAAATAAAAATGTACCAAGGAAGTTTTCAGAGATCACAGCTACTTGTCGACACCCTGCCTCATTATAAATGAGAACATAGCGACACCGAAAAGCTACGAAGAACTTAGCATTTGCTTTGACTTCCTTCTATTTGCCTCTATTGTTCCCTATGGACATTAGGCTTGATACCTGAAAATTGCTTTGCTTAGAGATGAATGTTCGTAACACCCTGAACATGCTGACAACATAAACATCGAGCATACTCTTTTTACCAATGGTACACAACGTCGAGTCGAAGCTCCCCTTTCGGATCGGCCGGTCGTCCCCTATTTGTCTGCACAGCCTCTGTGAATGTGTAGGTCTACCAGTCACTGAGTACCATTCGTCCCAGCGGAGTTTTCCCTATTACTCACCTGCCTTAAATTCGTAGGCCTGTAGGTAGCAACCTTTAGTACAGAAAGCGGTAAGCTGTGTGTAAACGGCGGAAATGGGCTTGACTGAAACGAGCTCAGGTCTTCCGGAAGTCTTCGCGTTTCCAACAATATATACCGCCCCCCAACAACATATATATATATATATATAAGTGACATTTGATGAAGTATATAACATGCTATACACGTTCTGCTTGTAGATAAAGGTCCTCGCCCGGAAATAGAATCGGTATGATCGGGTTAAACGCATGTTGTGTCAACCGAATGAGTACAGGGTAGCGCTTGTTATTCATTAGGATGGCCGATTAGAAAAAGGCAAGGCAACATGATAATTGTGAAGAGAGAAATAAAATCATAAAAAATAACCTGGTGTTTTATAGACAATAGAAACCAGCAGCAGCAACCAATAGCAGTAAGTAAAATGTGCACAAACACAAAGCGGTCATGCCCGATGTCTGACGAAATAAAACACGTACATCTATCTCTAATGGTATATTGCGGGCAGGGAAGTGCCGGTTTTAAGCAGTATACGAAAGTACGAGTAACGAGCTGCAGGTGGCTGAAACATAATAAATGAAAAAATCGGCAGTTGATTTCGCATTACAACCATATTTAACCCTGTCCGGCTTTCGTATTATTATCTCACTTATGATGCCTCCTATGAAATGTTTATATTGCTATGCCGATATCTGAGAAGTCGCCCTTAATTCCAGTTCCGTGTGAGCAGTATTCGCAGAAAATCGGAAAACTCGACACTACATAAGCTTAGGCAACATGTATTTATATGTAAAGCATACGAGCTGTTCCTGTTGCGCATGACTAAAGTGCAGCTGATCTATGTACGATAACAAGGTCTGATACCTTGTGAGTCCAGAGCCTCGTTTGTTTAGGCGGAAAGATTGTAAGGGCAGATTAGATGAAATTTATCCCGACATAGGCATAATATTAAATTAGCAGCCTTGGATGGTCGTAGCGAAACGCTCTGAAGGCCAGGTTTCAATATGCACGATGCACCATGATGATCTCAACAGGGTGCAGCACGAAAACACTGGGCTTCTACAGAATCCGCCACATCACAACATAGTAACGAAACGCTAATATCTCAGCATGTCGCCTGCACGTATGGCACAACTCCACTACGACCATTTGGATGCCTCTGGTAGGTGCTCTCAGATCCTTCTGTTCATTTAAAGGCTCTTATGAAATTTAGAACGAAGTGATTTAATAAAGGCGTTTGGCTGTGGTCTGCACGTGGCGCAGATCTTTATGGTATTCGTGTCTCACGCAAGCTCAAACCATTAGAAGCGACGTGTGATTTCTGTCACTCTTAAAGCTGTCCTATCATGTCAGAAAATAATAATAATGGTAATACGGTTCGATACGCTTTGATCTAGAACAAGGGCCAATGTATAGATTGATCGCTTTAGCGCTAGATCAGTTCAATTTTTATTTGTATTATTCAATTTTTATTTCTGTAGATTCTGTATTTCTGCTGTAGATTTTTATTTTAGAGAACGACAACCCAATTAAACTATCCGTTTGTCGTCCAATTTAGTAAAGACCCTTGCAATATAAGCATGAAGTTGCCCTGTCTTTTAAATCTCTTGATGATTTACCTATTTATATTTTATTTATGACTCAGCTCGTTGTTATCCGGGGAACTCGAAATAGTCAAAAGAACATGCATCTACATACTTGGCGTTTCGTCTATTCAACCTCGAACAATCCTTGGGGCCACGTACGACTTCACAAATGTATTACTGTAGCTCGGTTTGGTCATTACAGAGAGCCAGCCCGTTCCATGGTGCGAGCTATGGGGTGACTTTCGAATAAATAAAATCACTTTGCTTGAACCTATCCTCTATGAAACTCATAAGGGATCTCCAGATAATCAAGAAAAAGTAATGCGAGAAATGAAGCAGAAAATTCGAAATGATAACATTTCCGGTTTTCCTTAACATATCCCTATGTAACAGAAGAAACTGCCGAGAAACACCTAACAGAAGGACGTTGTGTCACACGCACAAAGCAGAAGGTGACTATGAAAAAATGTAACAGTGATTATGCGATGAAATGATGCAAATGGGTCGGGCGGGAAATCCTTGCGTATGGTACGGCAGGATTATGAAGGAAACACTTGGGAGTACCTGAGAGAGAAAAAGGATAGAATTGAATAAAATATCTGTACCGCCTTTTCTCAGACATTTATTTTTGAAAATACCACCACTCATGGCGCTAACAGTAACAGCGGTGCTGTCACTAGCGGCCGGCAGTCGCGCAAGAAGAGGAGTGAGATAGTATACGTAGCAGTTTACGCTTCGAGGAAAGAGCAACGCAGATCTCTGTTGCTTCCTGGAGTAGGCTCCCTAAGCAAGTCATGATAAAATCCTCAAGCCGGCAGTTCCTCTGACTCATTGCCGTTTGTCATTTGGAAAAAGTTACAGCGCTAGCGAACGGGGAAAATCGGCAGGGGTAAAAGTTAGAGGGAGAGGATAGCATAGGAGGAAGTAGCTGGCAGATGACTGTGAATGAAGAATGACGAGAAACAGGAAATACGAAGCACGCCGTATAAGCAAGCATGGGTGTGCTTTTCATGGGTTGAGTGGCCACATTTTGCTGGACGAGAAAATCTAATGTGAAAGGAATGGCATTCCGGAGTCCTAGGAGGAGCGAAGGTGTCGCAAGCGTAAACGTCGTACACGGCTAGCGCAGTCTGAAAAGTTGTTGACGGTCGTTCAGTTTGTACCCCATAAGAGATCACTACGAAAAGGGTAACAATCCACAAATACGTACAGCGAGTGCCAGCAGTAATGAGCTATGTCATAATGTGTTCATAATAGTGTTATCAAATAGTAACATTTACTCTGGGTTGAGACGTCATGTAGATTACCAAAATAGGAAAACGTTGTAGAATAATTGTAGCAGTGATTCAATTACTATGAAAGCTAGTAATTCACTGGACGATTTTACTCGGGGACCGAATGATATCCAGAATATTCGATGAATTTTCGTATATATATATATATATAATAGGATATAACTTAGCCAATATAGAAATCTGATAGGGTTTTTCGATGCCGAAGCATGCGAACGTGACAATAATCGGAAAGCAACTCTACTCACTGGCTACATAAGTTCAGTTAAATATTGCAATCAAGCACGATACTTTTTTAGATCGTTTCCGTATACATTGGCAACGATTTGGTCACACACTGGCTACACATTTCGAGATGGTGGTCAATCATCAATGTGCAGCTTAATTACACGTACCCAGCATAGACAGGAACTGTATAGTGCGGAAATGACTGGATACGCTCAACACAAGTGTCTCTCTAATCTAGTGTGCAATGGTATGGCCAAATATTATGTGGCAGATTTCCACGGGTAGGCGGTTCTCCTACCAGCATCTACTTTGTCGGGTGAGACCCGATTCTCCCGAGACACCAATGACGGTTGGGTTGCATAGATAGCGAATAACTTCGCAGAACGAGGAAGTGAAACTGCCAGAATTTTAGCAGATGAAAAAACTTATTTTTAAGGAAAACTAGACCAAACATTTGCTCTATTATAAATTCCAGAGGGGCATATCTAATAAGATACGCTGAACCTAGACCGAAAGAGAAGATTTAATGTATGTTACATTGAACATACGTCCTAAACATGGACATTGTACCTTTATACCATTTTTTCGAATTATATTTTTAAGAAAAAAAAGTTAAATATGACAAAGACAAATTACTTGTCAGCTTGAAAGGCGTTAATTCTAGCCGAATCCAGATTTTCGTGCGGCTAAATAAATAAAATTTTCAAAAATTTGCTAAGAATATTGTTATTATCACATAATTTAGACGTTTTGTTTATAGTTTGCAAACCATGCAGAGCAACATTCATAAATGGCACTGCGGATGTATTTTTCTGAGCGCTGTACTTACTTTAGAATAAAATTAATAACTAATATAAAGCGAATAGCCCTATTCTTTTTTAAAAGTTTTATTTGCCACATATATACATTGGCGTGCGTCCTTGTAGCCGTCTCATAACGACATTTTCCAAACCATTTGTTCCACCCGATACGAGTATTTGGGTCGTATAATTGTCAGCTGTGTAAGTAAAGATATCCACTTTTAGATCAAGGTTAACTCGAAGTGGTATCTCTTTTTTCCCACTATTTAAAGGCATAATTTACTCACCACGTGAATTATTTTAGTTTATTTAGCAACATATAGCCTTGCCCAGATTACTTACCTTAAAAGTACCAAGACCTAGTTTTCAATTCGGCAGGAAGGACGTCCAATAATTCCAGATACACCTTAAAATTTCGTAGAAGAAACAGAAAGCCGGTGTCAATAGCATATCGTGTTTCTGCAATCAAATTTTATCTAGTTACCTTGCTTTATAAAACTTCATATAAGTTTTACGAATCTTTTTGAATTTGACAACTCCCTTAGACGATCTAAGAATGGTATTCGAATGCAACGAGCGGCATGATGTCTATCGCAGTTTTCCTAGCGTCTGGAATACCTACATCTCGAGTTGAAACCTAGCTTCCTGTAGGGTTTATGGCGGAAGTCATGCGTGACAAAACGAGTGAATGCACGTCTGTTTAGCCGCTTCGTCCCTTTCCACTCGATACTCTTCATCACACTCGAGGCCAAAAAATCCTCATCGAGCTCCATGAATTTTTGCTCCCAATTCCTAAGGTTCGTCTTGAAGGCTTCCGTTGCTGGGAGCTGAAAGCGACGATCTAGGTCGTCCGAGAGCTGTGACGAGTCGGCTAAGAGATACACGAGGCCATGTCGGGTCACGATGTGTAATTCCAATGCTCTCTTGAGAAAAAGACCTTTGCGCGCTTCGACGGTCTCCACTGTAACATTCCCCCAAAGGATGTGTATTCCATACATTGCGATTGGAGCTATTTGGAATTAAGAGTAGTTGTCCGAAACAAGCGATGAGGCCCTCCGATCTCCCATGCGGTCAACACTGCCTTTCTGTATCTTTCGGTGACGTATACAGTGAAGCTTCTGCTGCTTGCGGAAAAGAGCGACCTCAAGTGCGGAAACCTGTTTACGTAGGTAAAAAAATACAAGGCGTCAGTGGCCGCTGTCCTACCCCGCCCTCTAAATTCCGTTCCCTTTATCTCGGTTAGCTTACAGTCAGTTCTAAACCTGTGATTGATGCGGGAAGGCAAGCTAGAGCTTGCTACATTTGGAATTTGTTTAATCCATATGTCACTAAATCGTCTGCACACAAGATAACTTTGACTGATTTTCTCGATAGGAATTTTGCTCAAAAAGCATGATAGAGACTAGGAGTCGGATTTAGATTGCGTCTCTGAGCCAAGCCAATTGTCGGTGTAAAGGGAAAGAGTTCGTTTACTCCGCCGTTGATGGTTATTCTGATTTCCTGAGGAATCGCAACGAGAAGATTGAGTACACGATAGGGACACCCACCTCGGCTAGCGTGAATGTACCCTGTCCCTGGGCGCTGAGTTGAAGGCCATCTTGAAGTTGAGGTACACCGTATCGCGGGTTACGCGGCGCGGCTGATATGCTCTTGACATCGGTGATCAGGGTCCTGCACGCCGTTTCTGTCGAGCGTTCTCTGCCGAATTCATATTGCTCCATTGGGATGGTGTGTACGCCTTCTAAGTAGATGTTCAACCTCTTAGTAAGTCGGAGAGCAGCTTATAGTAAACACTTTGTTCTCTTTTTCTCTCCATAATAACGACGCGCTTGAAGCTCCCTTTTTTTTAGGAATCAAAATGTAAACATTTATTAAATTGCTATCCAATACGGTGCCGGAATGACGATGCATTTGAGATGCTCGTTGTACGCTTTATCTGAATTGGCATCGAGCTGCTGTGCTTCGTTAGCCACGTATATTGTTAACGTTCTGCAGCAGCGATCAGATGGACTTGCAGCCTTTCAAAGTGTTGTTGCCATTGTGATGCACACATTTCTTGACAGATTGTCTTAAAAACGGAGGCAAAAAGGTAGATTTCACGCTGTACCTTAGTCATAAGTCTTAAAATTATTTGGGCTGCTGCCTGGATAAATCTGCAAGTATAATTGAACCACTGCCTATCCTTCTGAAGGGACTTAAAGGCTTTATTATAGATCAGAGAATTTACGCAGATGTCGCGCATAAGTTTTGACATTCCGCACATGAGGTATAGGGAGAACTGCGTGGGTGCGCTTTAAGGGCTTGCTTACGAGTAGGTGTCGCGAGGGAGCTTGGAGTTTGACAGTTCGTATAGATGCAACCTGGCAGTGAAGTTTATCACCATTGATTTGTGAGCATGAATGCTTGCGTCCTCTGACAGGTATTGCTTTTCACTTTAAGACTTTACTTTGTCCTTTATTACGTTTGTCGCAAATGTATCGATGACTGAACGTCCTAGGAAGGTCGGTGTCAAGGGGGAATTGACATCCATAGAACAAGATCGACGAGCATATCAAGAAAGGCTTCAGCGCGGCTTGGGTTCGGCAGATCGAGCTAAGCGTTAAAATCGCCGGCCGTGAAAGGCCAGAATGAGACGATAGCGCTTCTGATCCACTGATAAGTTTCTTCACTGGTACTTACGTTGATTCCGATTCGACGAAGCGAACATAGGTTGTTATAAGGCAAAAACAGCATTCTGTATTAAGCACGTAAGCGTGAGCTCGCCTATTTTATGACTGTAGAAGACGAAGTGCCCTGAGACAACGTGATCCTGCTCTTCATTATAGGGCAGTACGTAGAAAAGAAACGTGACAAGTTAAAAGGGCTAGTTGCCCAATTTTCCATTAGTCCGAAAATATCTGTATTGTCCAGAGCTCTTGGGAAGAGAAGCGCTAGAGTTGCAGCCCTCTCGCAGTTCCACTATGTAATTGTTAGCGTCTCCTCAAGATGTCGCCCTGCTGTAAGTTTCTTGATTGGCTGCGGTGATTGACGGTATTACGTATGGAAACTGGCTCTTTAGCCATTAATGCTGCTAGTACCTGCCTGATGAAGCCCTCGACCGTTGCAGCGGGACTTGTGGACGTTGGCCCTACTTTAACTAATTTGCTTGGTGTGGCCTTTCCTGACAGCGGTTCTTCAACGATAGCTTCCCTTAGCAGTATCTCATCTTATCGAAATTGATTCAGCCGCTGGAACGTTCGGCTCTGGGAGCCTGGTCGGGTTTACTGTTTAAACTACCTCGTATTGATGTATCTTTTTTTTTTTACATTTTTTTTTTATTGCATTTTCTACATCTTACTTTTTTTGATTATCAGGATTCTCACGTTTAAAAAAGGATTTATTCGTTTGCCGCGTCTTCTTTGTGGCTGTACCGTCCACCCTTGACGACCGGATGCTGTGATATGGACAGGAGGAAAAGCGAAAATTTCACATCTTTTGAACTCGCCTTTTCGCAATAATATCATTTACCGCTTTGTGTCTGGTCGAAGGGAAAATAGCAGCACATATGAACCTCTGATCCAGCACACGAGTTGATTAATGTATTCGAAAAGCTCTCTATCTTGCTGATGTCTATCCCTTTCAAATTGTACGCATTCATGATAACCAACTTGTCAAGATGTCGCAACTGGCCCGTTGCTACTGTTAATATACTTGTCTGTTTCACACAATATTGTCAGTGTTCATCTCGCGACGTTTTCTTGGGCATATCTTTCTCAGCCCAAAGACGAGGGCCTGCAATACATATAAATATACAACACGTTTGAAAGACAGCCCTGCTGATAATGCCGTCGCTTATTACCAGTGCTGTCTCTCATGATGGGGACGGAGCCGGGCCATTCGAAGGTCTCTCAGAAATGACATCTTTGTGTTTCGCTTTCAAGTTTGATATCTGCTCTTCCAACTCCGTCATTTGATCAAATGGGAACGTCGCGTGTTCCAATAATTTTTCTACTACAGGGTTCGCTTTATGCCGATTTATGCTTTAAATATCGTTTATAGGTAGCTTGTTGCATCTCTCTGAAACTCATATCTGCTCATATCGTTAACTGTCCTTCTTTGTTTCAGTATCTACTCAGTGTCAGCCAGAGTTTTAATCGTGTATCAGCGGATACTTGGAGCACGACGTACACGCCCAGTGGTCTACTCTGAAGCGTTCAAAGGGGCGTGTTAGTATGTTTCATGTAAATATCATACCTCAACATATTGGGACACATCTTTGGTGCATAGCCTCAGTCATTTTACATTGTTTAAATGAGTTTTCAAAATGCACGAAATTTTATAACATCTATAAGACATTTTGTCATTCCAGATATTTTTAACTATTATAGAAAGAAGGTTAACTAGTTAAAAGATAAAGACAAGCTAGTCCTGGTATTCGTAGCCTGCTCTTTATTTTTTTATTGGCGTATTAAGACAAAAGCACCAAATCAATAAACAAACGTTCCGAGTTTTCGCTAGGTGCTGCTCCAGACGCCCGACTTCCGGCTCCAAACCAAGTGCATTTACAATAGAGTTTGACTGACGTGCACGGTACACCTCGCATGGAAAAGACATAGGCATATACTTTGTAATAAGACAAGGGGCACGCATTTTTTTTAGCTTATAGTATATTTTTCGCCAAGACGGAAGCCCGAAAAAACTATACCTGAGCTAAACCTTGTGTCACATGCGTGTACTTATACAAAATAGAAGCCTTTATGTTAAATTTTCTGTAGTTTTAATTAAGTTTTGTTTGCTCATACAAAGACCATTTAAGAGACTTGCTAATTTAAACTTGCTGTAGTGCTACACTGTAACGTGGACCGAGTCGAAAGAGAACGAGGCGAAGTTAAAGCCGAAAGGTAAAAAAATAATCTAAGATATATAATGCTGAGTGAAACATTTGTACGCAATTATCTTCTGCAGGGTCGCGTTAGTATACAAGCCTTTTTATCAAATAATTTATCAAATTATTATCTAATCAAAAATTTATTAATAAGCAAATTAAAGATAGCCCTTATAGGCAGAGAAACACCACTGTGTAAAATAGATTTTATTCTGAGCTTTGCTTCTGTCTCTTTACCTTTGTTCTACAAACGTTCATAAAGGTTTATGACAATCTTGGGTAAAAAACAAAAATGTCTTTAGTGCAAAGTTGATCACTATGAGGAAGGAAGGGCTGTTATTATACCTAGTTTGTAATAAAATACACAGGAAATCATTTTAAAACCATAATAATTTTGGAGTGTCAATTAGAGAGCCTTCATAGTCTCGCTTAACTGTATGTGGTTTGACAATATTTCGCAGTCTACCATAGAAACATAATTTAAGCCTTTTAAGAAGTTGTACGATCTTATGGAATACACCAGTGTTTTGAATGCCTCCAAA